GAGGTGAGGGACAGGAGGCCCCTGGACTCTGTGGAGGAGGTGAGGGACAGGAGGCCCCTGGACTCTGTGGAGGAGGTGAGGGACAGGAGGCCCCTGGACTCTGTGGAGGAAGTGAGGGACAGGAGGCCCCTGGACTCTGTGAAGGAGGTGAGGGACAGGAGGCCCCTGGACTCTGTGGAGGAGGTGAGGGACAGGAGGCCCCTGGACTCTGTGGAGGAAGTGAGGGACAGGAGGCCCCTGGACTCTGTGGAGGAGGTGAGGGACAGGAGGCCCCTGGACTCTGTGGAGGAAGTGAGGGACAGGAGGCCCCTGGACTCTGTGGAGGAGGTGAGGGACAGGAGGCCCCTGGACTGTGGAGGAGGTGAGGGACAGGAGGCCCCTGGACTGTGGAGGAGGTGAGGGACAGGAGGCCCCTGGACTCTGTGGAGGAGGTGAGGGACAGGAGGCTCCTGGACTCTGTGGAGGAGGTGAGGGACAGGAGGCCCCTGGACTCTGTGGAGGAGGTGAGGGACAGGAGGCCCCTGGACTGTGGAGGAGGTGAGGGACAGGAGGCCCCTGGACTCTGTGGAGGAGGTGAGGGACAGGAGGCCCCTGGACTCTGTGGAGGAGGTGAGGGACAGGAGGCCCCTGGACTCTGTGGAGGAGGTGAGGGACAGGAGGCCCCTGGACTCTGTGGAGGAGGTGAGGGACAGGAGGCCCCTGGACTCTGTGGAGGAGGTGAGGGACAGGAGGTTCTAGCCAAAGCCACCTCCATCATGAACAACACCTCCTGCACAGGACTGAGGAGGAGCTGAGGAGCTCCTTCAGTGGAAGCCTGAGCAGGGCCTTTATCCCCACCGCTGTCAGACTGTACAACAAGTCACTTTAAGTCACTGTATATGACTGACAAACCTGCACTAATACTGACACTGTTTATTGTACATAATTATCCTGCATGAACATGTTGCACAGTCTGATGTTTCTGTTCGTGCTGATGTGACATTTCTCCTTTTGTGAGATAAATAAAGCATATTTTATTTTATCTTATCTTGGACTGTTTACAGATGGACAATGCTAACCTGCTAGCTCAATGAAGCTCTATAGGGAAGTGCTCATGAATGAAGTTTGAATGAGAGCTGATTGGCTGAGTGGGGGCGGTCCTCTCTTTGTTTCCGTCTGAAGTCTCAATAAAACATTTGAAAACTCGAGATAGAAATGTTTTAGAGACAAGACCTAGTTACACGGCGTTTGTCGATTAGTTACATTTGTGGTGGTTTGAAAGTTAGGTTCCCCAGCTTTAACTACTCTACAGAACAAAGAGAGACCAGAGCGAGACCAGAGACCAGTGTGTGTGCGTTTTTGTGTATCTTGTGTGTGTGTGAGTGTGTGTGTATCTTGTGTGTGTGAGTGTGTGTGTGTATCTTGTGTGTGTGTGAGTTGGCCTCAGACCAGAGTCCGGAGCAGAGACATTTTTACAGCGTGTTTATCGACGGGTCATGTGACTGTGAGATGGATGGAGGCGCGGGGACATCACTCATGTCCCTGTAAGCACACACAGGCAGGTACACAGGCCAAATGAAGACGGATGGACACACACACATACAGACACACACACACACTTACACACAAATACACACACATACAGACACACACACAAATACACACACACACACATACAGACACGCACATACACACTTACACACAAATACACACACACACACATACAGACACACACACAAATACACACACACACATACAGACACACACACACACACATACACTTACACACAAATACACACACGCACACATACAGACACACACACACACATACACACAAATACACACACACACACATACAGACACACATACACACTTACACACATATACAAATACATATATACAAATACACACATACACACACATACAAACGCACTTTCTTTGCTGAATGTCACACTAACAACACCACACACACATATATACACACACTTAAAGATGCGCACACACGTATATATAGATAATGCACACGCGCACACACATATTGTCACACTCAATACCGCCACCACACACACACAACACGCAAACACACACATATACAGTATACACACAGTTAAAGATGCGCAAAAATATACATATACACACACGGACAATGCACACGTGTACACACACAGAATGCAACACTCAATACATTCTGTACTCAATACACCACACACACACACACACACACACCACACACACACACACACACACACATACATGCACATGATACACACATAACGCCTGTGTTTTCCTGTCCTGGAGGTTCAAACAAAAATATATGCACACATGCAATCACACACTCAGAGCACCCACGTACACACACATATACATACACACATACACACATACACACACGTTCAACCCAATCAAGGTGAGACTAGGGACTTAAGATGTGGGTGTATATATGTGTGTGTGTGTATGTATGCACATGTGTGTGTGTGTGTGTGTATAAAGTGTGAAGCCTCTTTCCTTCTTTGCAGTAAAACCTTGTGATGAAGCTTCAGTGTGATGGTGTGTGTCTCCCTCTAGCGGACAGAGGGAGTCATTACAAACGTCTGTTTTCACTGCAGCAAAACCAAAGTTGTTACTGAGAAACTGAGACTCAAAGAAACTGACCTGGTTTTTATTCTTAAATATCTTTAAAAATGCTCTTTCCCATCAACAGAAACACAATATTTACTGCTTCAATAATCCAGTCTGTATGGGTCCACAGAGGGAAATGTCAGTGTTGCATCAGCAGTTACAGAACAGAACGAGGAGCAAAGAAAGAAGAGAAAATAATCTACTCTAACATTTCTAACTTTAGCAAAATAAAGAAGCGAGTGTTAAATCTGGATAATTTAGTTTTATTTAAACATTGTCTTTGTACAAAATGCAGTAGTGTAGAGTCGAGTGAGAGAGAGACCAGAGAGAGACCAGAGAGAGAGACCAGAGAGAGACCAGAGAGAGAGACCAGAGAGAGACCAGAGAGAGAGACCAGAGAGAGAGACCAGAGAGAGACCAGAGAGAGAGACCAGAGAGAGAGACCAGAGAGAGACCAGAGAGAGAGACCAGAGAGAAACCAGAGAGAGAGACCAGAGAGAAACCAGAGAGAGAGACCAGAGAGAGACCAGAGAGAGAGACCAGAGAGAGACCAGAGAGAGAGACCAGAGAGAAACTAGAGAGAAACCAGAGAGAGACCAGAGAGAGAGACCAGAGAGAGACCAGAGAGAGAGACCACAGAGAAAGAGACCAGAGAGAGACCAGAGAGAGACCAGAGAGAAACCAGAGAGAGAGAGACCAGAGAGAGAGACCAGAGAAAAACCACAAAGAGAGACCACAGAGAGAGAGACCAGAGAGAGACCAGAGAGAGACCAGAGAGAGAGAGAGGACCATGAGCTGTGAGTTTCCTGTCCTGGAGGTTCTTAATAAATCTTTTGTAACTTTTAAACCGAGCACAATAATCAAAAACTCTTCTGGCCCAGGAAAAATCATTTTCCAGCGTGGTGGCTGAGTGGATAGCGCTCTCGCCTCTCAGCAAGAAGGTCGTGGGTTCGAATCCCGGTCGGAACGTGGCTTTCTGAGTGGAGTTTGCATGTTCTCCCCATGCTTGTGTAGGTTTCCTCCGGGTACTCTGGTTTCCCCTATCACTAAAAACATGTCACTAGATTAAATCCTCCAGCTCTGGTCCTGACCGAGCCGAGCATCAACATCTGGACATGGGTTCCCGGGCGCTGTTACTATGGCTTTATTCATCTTGCACTGAAACTGTTTTAGTCGATCGATTTCACAGTGACAATTGTTTAATGTTTTATTTGTTTTATTTCTGTACTTTTAAGCCTGTGTTTTGTCTGTACTTGTCTGATGCACACTGGGGACTTTTGCTTATGTATTGCAATGTGTTTTTACTGCAAATGGCGATTAAATGAATCTGAGTCTGTGGTTTCTCAATTCAAACTATTCTCTCAGACTCTAAATACAGGCCTGAGTCATGTGTTTGCCTCCCTCTAGTGTCCACACAAAGCTACTACGCCCTCCACTGTCTCTGTGTAGTTCAGTTCTAAGTCAATATTAGTGTTTTTATATGAGTTGTTAAATTACCTTTAGCTCCTGCTCTGAGATCTTGGTAGCCGTTTTTTGTAATCGATCCATTCATTTTTTCATGGCGCTGGTTTTGGTCAGTGTTAGGAGCAGCTCATTTGGTTAAGGTTCAGTACGTTATGTTCAGGATAATAATAATAACAATAATAATAATAATAATACCTTTAATTTGTAATGCACTTTACATACAAATCTCAAAGTGCTAAAGAACAACAACAATAAAAGCACACATCATTAAAGTTAAAAAAATGTTAAAACAATGTTAAGAAGGGAACAGAAAAGTTTTAAGTCCTCTTTTGAAGGTCTCCAATGACTGTGGGGCGTTCGGGAGCAGCCGCCTGGAAAGCCCTGTCACCCATTGATAAGGCAATAGTTCACTTTCAGACAAAATACCAAGGTTTTAGTGAGTTCCATATTATAAAGTTTAGCATTGTGCCACTCAATCAAATATGTAAAAACACATTAACATCACTGAACAAACATACATTCACATGTTTATGCTAACACATGACACGAGAATGTGACACTTCATAACACTTCCATGGATCTCGCTCCTGACAGTGGAGAGGCCTCTGTGCTCTGCTCTCACGGCGCCCTCTAGTGGACACAGCACGTCACTGCAGCCGCTAGGAGCTGAACAGAGGAACAAGGTCTGTCTATAGTCTCTCTCTTTGGCCTGTCTATAGTCTCTGTCTTTGGTCTCTCTATAGTCTCTCTCTTTGGTCTCTCTATAGTCTCTCTCTTTGGCCTGTCTATAGTCTCTCTCTTTGGCCTGTCTATAGTCTCTCTCTTTGGCCTGTCTATAGTCTCTCTCTTTGGCCTGTCTATAGTCTCTCTCTTTGGTCTGTCTATAGTCTCTCTCTTTGGCCTGTCTATAGTCTCTCTCTTTGGTCTCTCTATAGTCTCTCTCTTTGGCCTGTCTATAGTCTCTCTCTTTGACCTGTCTATAGTCTCTCTCTTTGGTCTGTCTATAGTCTCTCTCTTTGGCCTGTCTATAGTCTCTCTCTTTGGCCTGTCTATAGTCTCTGTCTTTGGCCTGTCTATAGTCTCTCTCTTTGGTCTCTCTATAGTCTCTCTCTTTGGCCTGTCTATAGTCTCTCTCTTTGGTCTCTCTATAGTCTCTCTCTTTGGTCTGTCTATAGTCTCTCTCTTTGGCCTGTCTATAGTCTCTGTCTTTGGTCTCTCTATAGTCTCTCTCTTTGGTCTGTCTATAGTCTCTGTCTTTGGTTTCTCTATAGTCTCTCTCTTTGGCCTGTCTATAGTCTCTCTCTTTGGTCTCTCTATAGTCTCTCTCTTTGGTCTGT